CTCCCTCCGTCTTTCAAAGCGTTGGCTGACGGCAGAGACGGAGGAGAGGGCCAGCGGTGGTAGAAGGGGAGCAGGTTGTGGCGGAGCTCGTGCTCGCAGAGAGACGGCGGCGGCAATGAGGAGAAGGGGAGGAAGTGGAGCAGGTTGTGGCTGAGCTCGTCGTCACAGAGGGACGGCGGCGGCAGGAACACGTTGGTGTTGGAGGTATACTCCGAGACGTCGTCCTCCACCGACGCACACAGCTCCGTCATTGCGGCCATCATCCCGCATTCAAATCCAGTAGGCCTCTTCCCCAACTCGTTGGCGCGCGTGGCACGTCCTTCTCCCTTCGCCGTTCCCAGGTCGTCGCCGTCGTAGATCCGTCGACTCCTCCACCACCTTGCCGCCTCCATCTCCTCCCTACCACCGTGGGCCTCCCACCTCCTCCCAGCAAAGAGGCCGAGGGCGGAAGGGTAAATTTCTGGTGTGGGAGCCATGTCCAAGAGCCACGACGTAGCCCAACGCGGAGTCTAGCTCCATGGCTCGACGAAAAGGGGCCGAGGAGTGGAGGGAGACACGTCCCTAGCAGAGGAGTCGTGCCCCTCTGCTAGGAGACGGCTCGAGCCGGAAAAGCAACGTCCCATCATAATATGAGCAGGAACACTTTTCAGGTGCACCCTTGTATCTCTCGGATTTGGATTCTTTTTGGAACCGAGGGAAGAACCGAGGGAGTAAAGACTAGTACACCATTGCACGCACATCCATGGGATGACTGTCAGTATCTGGTGCGCACGCCCGACCATTCCTCCCTGCCGTCAGAATGGGCAGGCAGAAAGGCCCTTTTCTCCCTGTCCCGATCGAACCAGCGTTGGCCATTGGATAGGAGTAATCTCTGTAGAGGAATCTAACTTACTGGATGTAATCATGATCGTGTGCGGCTCACTTTTAGGACGACAGACACGGGGCAAAAGTGCAGTTTCGGGTAAATTTTGATGTGATGTTCAGTTTGAACGAAGAGTAGATTGCGATCCCGATATTCTCTCATCTTTATGTCGCGGTTAGCTCCAAAAACCTGGATCTTTTTCCAGGTCATTCTGAGATCGTACGGACAGTCGGTCGACAGAACGTTCTGTCGATCGCTTGCATTGTTTTGTCACAGCAATGGAACCTGAATTAGTAGGTAAACCAAAAAAAATGTTTGAAGTTAAAGCAGGACAGTGGAAATTAGACTTCACGTGAGATGGGAGTAATGTCGGACCGCCCATTTTGTTGAGAACTCCTCTCACTTATCAATCACCTTCGACAGCATCATGAATTTGGCTCTTTATTTATAGTTGACCTACTTAAGTATATGTACTTGACCACTTTTGAGGAAGTGAGCCAGTTTTATACAGCCTCTGTTGATGAACTTGAGTCCTAAAGAAAAGAGGAAATCGATGGATATCTAGTGTCTCAGCCATTAGCTTCCACAGTTTACATAGTCACGGGCATTTTGGCACTGTGTCAAGTGTCAACCAGACTTTGTCCCCTCTTTTCCTTGCCAAAACACATTTTAAACAAGCTGACAAAAGTAACGACACGCCATGGAGTTAGTTGTTTGGCATGCCAACAACAAATTAATCCATTCCCAAATCCCAAATCAACGGCCGCTCCCAACATTTTTCAACACCGCTAACGACCACCATGTCCTCAGATATACTCCAAGGACGGTCTTGAGAGGGTACATGCCAAAAACATCCGGACAACACCCCGTTTACAGCCAGCCATTGCATCCACACCACCAGCTGCCCTATCCTTTGGCTTATTCACGGAATAAGTGAAACGGTATATTTGCAAACGAAAAATAATTTATAAATAATATATATATATATATATATATATATTTCTTAACGATCTAAAAGCAAATACTGAAAAATAAATTTCGATGAATAAGCCTTAAAATAAACTTCAAATTTATGGTTAAAATTTCATATTTAGGATGATATAGTATAAGCATAAACGAAAAGATGATCGCAGAATTTAGCAACTAGTGCACGAATTGCACGCAGCAAGGCCAGTATACACACACCTGTCGTTAGTAGAGAGAGTACTCTACCACCAGATGCATCAATTCAACGAACCGTGCCATCCATCGGTAGCTAGCTGCTGGCTGCAGCTGCTGCCTGAAGGCTGGTACACAGTAGCACATGCTGCCGGCGGTGTCCCCTACTACCCCTTGGCCGCTACAGAGATCTCTCGCCGTCTCCCGCGTCCGTCCCGTCCGACCGATCGATCGATGGGCGCGGCTCGATCGATCGGCAGCAGGGCTCCACGCACGCACGCACGCACCCACCAACCGCGCGCGCGCGCGCACGGCCGATCGGCTGGGAAAAGCCGGCGTCTGCATGATTGCGCTTGCGTCGCGCGACCAGGATGTCCCATCCCCCGGAAGCCCCAGATCTCACTCACCTAGCTCCACCACGATCTGCCGGGGGTGAGATGATGAAAAAAGGACGTACGGGTTACATGCTTCCATCCGGTGAACTCGCTGCTGCATGCAGCGACTGGGAATACACTAGTACACATGTAATGGCAACAATGCTACAGCAGCAGTAGTAGTAGTACGGTGTCAGTTAATCGATCGAATTATTGGCGTAGACATAACCTGTAAGTGCCCTTTTCATTTGTAGGGAAAATAATAAGTTCCTATGAAAACCTTCCATTCCTATATTTTAAAATTCCTATGGAATGAGTAATTCTATTGAGATTTTGAAGAAAGCTTAGTAAAAAGTCTAACCCCTTGAAAAACAATTTATGACTCTAACTCTCTCATCCGATTCCCGTGATGTTCATGTGATTCAATCAAACAATTATTCGTGTTTTTCTATATTTTACAATCATCTGTTTTACACTTATATTCGTATTAAAAACTTGTGTTTTTTCTATTCCCCTGTTCTTCCATTCCCGCGATTTAAAGGGACCTAACATAGTCAAGAGTATGAGTAGTGTGTGTATTTATTTATTGGGTGGTGGTTTGAACTTTGGATTAAGTTTTCTCAAGTCACGGAGGATCTCACATAACATACATATTGTGGGAGGATTATAAACCTAAGCTTCTGGCGGCTACATGTGCTCTGATAATTCATAGCTCCTCTAAAAACAACCCGATTCTAGATTCTAAGATTCGGTAGCAGTAGAATTTAGAAAATAAACTACTAATCAAGAAGTCAAAGAGCATTAACTTCTCTAATTTACACCAGTTACTTCAAATTCTCGGCAGTTGCTTATCAGAATATCTCACTCTCTCAAACTAAGCCTATATATGGCAACCGGTAAGGGTTAATTCATGGTTGCGCTGCATGTTTAGTGAGGGAAAAACATATGAAATGAGTCTATGAGTATTGATTGGTATGCTTGGAGGAGACCATGTGAGGACAGTTTGGGACAGGAAATCCTTCCTCCTAAGCACCGCGGGGACAATACATTATTTGTTAGTTGTGGCAGCTTGCATGCCAGCATCTTCTTCAGCGAACACATTAACACTAGTCTTACCTCACACTAATCAGGCCTGACGTTATCCGGGCACCTACCTCTTCAATCATCCAGAAAAATAAATCCCCCACATGATGATGATCACTAAATTATGCGACACTGATTTGTGGCGTGTGTGTGTGAGCATAACTGCATATACACCGATGGATCACCGTCTTAATTGGACAGGTATAATCAAGCCCATCGGCTCAACTGTTTGCTAATAGTGTTGGAATTAATGAATGGGTCTTAGCCCACTCAAAGATTAATTCTTTGGAAAATCACAAAAATCCACCTCATGGGATGGCATGCATGTGAAGTTTAGTACCACTTTGCTTATTCTAGGAGAGGGGGACCTCCTTAAAAGGGAGGATGCCCTCCTAGCCACTTGAAGCATGTGTGGTGGAGAGAAGAGGGGGAACACACGCGCGCGCTCGCCTCGCCTTGCAGGGCAGGGCGCGTCGAATGGTCCGTCAAAATTGGAAATGTTTTTGTTTTGCTGCAAATTCGGATTCGTTTTTGTTTTGGAAACGTTCCGAAAAATCCGGTGCGTGCAAACGGCGTGGAGTCCGGATAAGTTATGGTGCGTGCAAACGGCGTGGAGTCCGGATAAGTTACGCGCGACTTATCCGGTTCGGTTACGCGCAGTAGAGATCGTGCGGGCGCCCTGATCAAGCGACCCTTCTCTATATAAACCGAGCCGCCGCCTTCACGCAACACACGCGAAATCAATTTAGGGTTTGCCTCCTACTCTGTGCTGCGCCGTCGCTCGTAGGTTACTCCATCCCGCTCGCCGGCGTGCACCTGCGATCGGGAGAGCAAGTCTCCGGAACCTCTGCCTTCGACGTCCTGCACCGGGAGAAGGCGGCAATAAGGTTTTTGGGAAGCGCTTTGCGCGACTGCTCCCTGTTCGTCCGCGACGGCTCGTCTTCCTCTTCGCTCGCGTGCTGCGTGCTTTCGTAGACGCCTGCGAAAAGTTTCGACCGAGCAGCCGGTCTTTCCGCCACCTCGATACGTGTTCAATATGTTGCGCATATTTGATCTGTTCATGTTATACTGTGTAGTTTACATGTGTAGATCTAATGATGCGTTTATGCTAGTTTTCATCTGTAATATCATGATTTATTTATAGAATAGATTAAATCATTATATGCCTATAACCTCAACAAATAGTATGTTGACAACGATTTGTATCCGCTACCGGTACTCCACTAGATAGCAGAGTGACGAAATGTTCCTGAAATGCTATGCTTGTTCTCGAGCTGCATGTACAGTACTCTCTCTGTCAATTGATCTCCCTAACATGCCAAAGAAAATTAATCTTCCTGCAGTACACCCATGTGACAGTAAATCACAGCGATTTAAAGCCTTCTAATCTCGACAGACGCACAAGTGTTCGAGTTCTACTTGTTAGTACGGTTTCAATATTGAAGCTAGGTAGCTGTTTCAGAACATGTAAAGAAGCTAGCTGAAGCATGTGGAGCCGTGGACCATCTGACGCCGGCAAAGGATGAAATGACGATGAAAGAACCAACATAGACATATAAAATTCTACATCCTTTAAATTTTCTACTCTAATTAAATCTTCTCTCTCTACCCTAATACACTCTCCAATGAAAATCATGTGCATGCACACCTAAAGAACAAACACAACTGACAACACTGAGTCCACTGACCAATAGGTGTAGTATGACTAATGCTATTAGAGCTACTCCATATACAAAAGGGAGAACAAAACCAAAGCAATTAACAAAAAAACGAAAGCGATTAGGGGAAGGGAACAACATTGATCTCAGGCTCGAGCCCCTCTCTGTCGACGGCGACGACGACTGCATCATCCAAGCACGTGGGCTCCATTAGCAGGCACGAGAAAAGGAGAGAGCAGCTGCTGCATAAACAAGATTTGGCCCATCTCTTCTCATCACAGCTTCCACTGGCGCCCAGAAAGATTCCCGGTCTCCAATGCATGCAATGGCAACGGATGCACCTAGCAAAAGCTTCTTCCAAAGTCTCCTCCCCATCACTCCCTCTGCTGCAAAGAACAGATTAATTAAGAAACTATATTTTTAAAAATTTTAATCCAGCCGCTCCATCATCAAAAGCAGTAATACAGTACAGTACAGTTGAGAAACAGAAAAGATTTTATTGCTGCAAAGAACAGATTAACTACTAAGAGAATGTATTTTTTAAATATTTTGATCCAGCTGCTCCATCATCAAAAGCAGTGGAGTAATACAGTACAGTACAGTTGAGAAACAGAAAAGATTTTATTACTACGAGTACTATTAATCTATTCAAGATTCGAGATTTCGAGTGTTCATATACAGAGGAAAGAATTTGCAGCAGCAGTAGAAAGGTGAGCGTTTATGATGATGAGTAGGGAGTAGGGACAATGGCTTTGCTTGGCCCAAACCGTTGGGGCTCGCGCGCTTGCGCTTACTTTGCCACAAAGCAACAAAGGCCAGGTTAATGGCCATGGCCGGATCGAGGTCGAGGCAGGCAAAGCTAGCGCGACGCCGACCAAAGCAGAGGAGAAAAAAAGAACACCACGACGACGACGACGAAGAAGAAGAATAGCCTTCTTGACTTTCTTCTTGCCCTGCTTCCGAGGTCGGAAAATGGCTAACGTTGATGTTCTCTCAGCTGCGTTTTTGGACTAAAGAAACGGTGTTTGGGTTTGGTAGGTCACAGTCAGCATGGCACTGTGTGTTTTTACGACGAGAAATGGAGACTTTTCAATTATTTGACTTGATGTTTAAGCGTCGATAAATAATTAAATAGTATATCTCCACTGGTTTAGTGATGGACAAAATGCTACTAAAAACTTTGATGTGATAGCATAGCAGAGTAATCAGCTGTACTCACTGATTGATCGATGCAGTGGACTGTAGTGCAGCTCAGGTTAGTGATTGTTTTTACCTGTGTTTTGTTTGCGGTGGTGGGCTTCAGAAGGGTAGGCTCTTGGAGGTGGAGGAGGCGGTGAGGGCCTTGAGGTTCTCCGACGACGGCGGCGCGAGGTCCTGCGGGAGGCGGGCGCGGCGCACGATGCGGCGCATGTTGCTCTGGAGGCTCTGCTGCACCAGCTGCCGCACGGCGCGCTTCTCGTTGCTCATGCCGGCCTCGTCGGCCTCTTCTTGGCGCGCGCCGCCGCCGCCGCCGCGCTCCTGCGGGGCCGACATTGTCGCGACGATGCCGGCGGCGTCGGCAACCTGCTTGCCCTTGTCGGCCCGGAGGATCTCGAGGATCCTCGACGCGCGCTTCTGCGCCAGCGCGGTGCCGACGAGGGTGAGCTCGAGGAGCGCCGAGGTGGCGCCGGCCTCCGCCATGGCGGCGCGGTCGGCGTAGCTCCGGTGGGCGAGGACCATGAGGATGTACGCCGCCTTCTCCTGGCACCCGGGCTCGTCGGACCAGTTGAGCACGTCGACGAAGGCCGGGACCGCGTCGGGGGCGCGGCTCACCGCGCGGCGGCCCTCGGGGCAGGCGGCCACGAGGTTGCAGAGCGCGGCGAGCGCGCGGTCCGCCGCCGCGGGCGCGTCGCCCACGGCGGCGACGAGCGACGGCGCCAGCCCCGCGGACAGCAGGTGCGGCGCGTTCGCCGGCGCGATGGAGAGGTTCAGGAGCGCGCGCAGGGCGTCGTGTCGCGCCTGCTCCGTCGTCGGCGCCGCCTCGAACGCGCGGACGAGGAAGGGGGCGGCGCCCGACGCGCCGATGATGGGCTTGTTCGCGTCGAGCGCGCTGAGGCAGAGGAAGTTGGCGACGAGCGCCTCCGTCAAGACGCCGGACGCGCCCTCCGCGATGCGGAGCATCTTGTGCACGGCGCCGGCCTGCACGATCGCCGCCTTGTTCCTACGAATCGAAGCAACTCCCAGAAATCAGGAACCGAAACCAGTAAACCACCAGATCTGATCAAGAAGCAGAGGAGTTCATCAAACTCGGCAAGAGAAGACGACTCACGTGTCGTTGCCGATCCCCAAATTGAGCAACGCGTACAGCGCGGCGGCGACCATCTCCTCGCCGCCGCCGCCGCCGTCGCTCTCGTCGAGCATCGCGACGAGCGGCGGGATGGCGCCGAGCATCGCGAGCATCTCCCTCGCGCCGGCGTCGTCCTTCGCCTTCCTCCGCACAACCGTGGCGGCCTCGACGCGGCACATGTCGCCGCCGCCGCCGATGCCGGCATTGTCCCCGTCGCAGGCCTGAAGCGCTCCGACCACAACCTTCAGCTTCTCCAGCGCCTCCACCTTCTTGACGGCCGCGTCGGCATCATCCGCCTCGTCGCCGCACTCCGACGGCTCCGCCCGGAGCAGCTCCGCCAGCCGGTCGGACCTCGGCCTCGGCCTCGGCTGCGGCGACCGGTACCCGTTCTTGCTCCGGCAAGAACCCCCTCCAGCGCCGCCGCCGCCGCCGCCGCCGCCGCCGCACGTCAGGACCTCAAGAAGCTTCCTCCGCAGCGCGGCGGCCGAGAAGATCGGCCACAGCCGGAACCCGCCGCCGACGTCGGCGTGCGCGCACCTCGCCACCATCGTGCACCTTCCGAAGCAAGTCACATTGGCCGGTTGGCGAGGCGAGCAGCGAGCTCTGCTACTCAGCTCCAATGGCGTAGAGGGGAAGCCGTGGCGCGGCGAGGAGGGGTTTATACGTGTGAAGGCAACAGGTGGCCTATGACCATGAACGGTGGGCCCATGTGGTCAGTGTAACAAATTATTAGTTTTTTAAGAGGGAAAAAATCAAAGGGTATTTAAAGCTGATTTGTGGGCTTGTGGCCAAAGACTCAGAGGAACTGTGGGCCCATGTGGTCAGTGTAACAGATTATATTTTTTTAGAGGAAAAAAATTCAAAAGGTAGAATTGAGCTGGGGGACATGTTGATCCACATCACTGATGAATCTGTCAACCAGCTAGTTTATGGTTATTGGTCACACTGACAGATTTACAGTTGGATTTAGCAGTGGAGGACCATTGGGGAAGGTGATTAAAAATGTGAACAATGCATATATATGCTTAGCTGAACCAGGTCAGCAGATGACGATTTCTGGTAGTTAATTAGTAGTATACAGTTTATCTTTATGCTAAGACTCACTCTGCAAATGCAGCAACTTGATTAGTTGTCACTGTTGGTCACATGCAGATGCACGGTAAGTTGGACTTAATACTTGTCACTGTTACCGCTCGCATCTGTGATATTTTTGTCACGCGGTCTCCACTACAATTTAGTTGTGGGAACTCGACCTGATTTTGAGGCTTAACCATTGTGCTTTGGTAGGAATTTTTGCAAGATTGGCATATTTATCGTTGCCTCTTTTTTTTTCCCCTGTGTCCTAGGTAAAGTGTTTTAGTCTGTGCTCGGTATAGCTGGGCAGTGGCTTATTTTACAGTAACCACTAGAGAGTTTGTGTAGCGCAGACTGTAGCGACAGATAACTATACCAAACGGGCTTTAACGTAGTATTTGTATACCGGCAATAACCTTCCTTCAGAAGTAAATGGTCTAGGCCGTTTTCCTTGAACGGGTTTTTAAGGTGGATGGATTGATGGGATGAGGATTTAAACATATTCAAACTCTCTATATAAGAGAGGTAATATCCTATTTCTACGAATCCGTCTACATAAAACAAAAAACACGTAGGATATAATAAGTTGAGAACTTGATTATCATACGCCATACTTTTGGCCTCATCTTTTCGCTTATACTTGTATTTATCAGCCAATATTTGAATTTTCAACCTTAAATTTGAAGCTGATTTTTGGGTTTTTTCATCGAAGTTTATTTTTCAGCCTTTACTTTTAGGTCGCGAAGAACACATATATAAAAGTTTTATTTACAAATTACTTCTTGTTTGCAAATATATCGTTTGGTTTATTTAACAAATAAGCCAAACAATGGTGCAGTTTGTGTTAAGTATATTATTTTTCATATGTTATCATTGAGATCAGTTTTTACTTTGGTCTCCACGGATAATATTCTATTATCGGTATTTTGACTAGTAATCCCTCTGTCCCAAATTATAAGGCCTATATTTTTTACACGGTTTTTAATAACATACTTTGACTAGTATTTTATTTCATTATATGATTCCAACAAATATAAAATTAACATCACATGAAAGTAGTTAAAAATATGAATATAGTGATATAACATGCAGAATACTTAGTATAGATATAGTTAGTATGATTATTAGTTAAAAGCTATCAAGTTTGATTTTTTTAAAAAGGGGGTCGCCTTGTAATTTGGGACAGAGTGAGTACAAATGAACTAAATCATTAGTAACTTTGAGTACTGGGGTGTGTTTGAGGAGAAGGGGATTGAGGAGATTAAGAAGATACGCAAAACGAGGTGAGCCATTAGCTCATGATTAATTAAGTATTAACTATTTTAAATTTCAAAAATAGATTAATATGATTTTTTAAAGCAACTTTCCTATAGAAATTTTTTTTATAAAAAACGCGCCGTTTAGTAGTTTGAAAAGCGTGCACACGGAAAACGAGACTCAATCTCCCCTATCACCCTGGAACGAACAGAGCCCTAGTATTGTAGCGATCACAACTACACATATTAATTTTTAAGAGTACTCCTAGTATTGTAGTATTGTAGCAATCACAGCTACACCTATTGAATACGTCTGATCGACACTTTCTTTACCGTCATCCCTTGCTTTCCGGAGGCAATTTTTGTTGTGTGTAATTTATGGCATTCAATTTGGTGGTTACAGGATACTTACAGCAAATTATGTACCCACTGAAAAAAAAAGCTTTGTAGATAGTACTGAATTGAACAAATCTACATAGTAGGGATAAACTCTCCCGGGGCACCAATCAGAAGAGAAGAATGTGCCCCTCCTCTGTCTCTTCCATTCCTTTTCACAGTAATAAGATAGCTTGTTTTTGAATCCAAATGTTTTGCACACAGATGCGCAGTACAGAGCCAGCAGAGCAGATCCATATCTGCATTTAAAAAACAGAGGATCCTGTTGTGCTCCAAGCTAGTGGCACCACTGGCATATGCATAGAGTTCCAACTTAATTCCAAAAGACCACTGTATTGATCTATTCCCCTTATTCTCCATAGCCGATCCACTTGATAATGATATTCAATTGACTTCACATATTGCAACTTAACAACAGTACAATGTATCTGTATCTGCATGAATTTTGCGCCGCAGCATGTGAACATCACACTGACTAATACTATGAATTTCCCCTTTTGTGTTGGAGCATATAATTCTCGAGAAACTAAGAAAATTTCACTCCCTTCACCCCCAAAATATTCACCTTTATTTTAAAATATATATACTACTCTATTTCAAAATATAGACTAAAAATGTTTTTATTTTGAATATTACAAGCGCGACCATACATGGGGTGTGTTTAGTTCACACTAAAATTGAAAGTTTGGTTGAAATTGGAACAATGTGACGGAAAAATTGAAAGTTTGTGTGTGTAGGAAAATTTTAATGTGATGGAAAAGTTGGAAGTATGAAGAAAAAGTTTAGAAGTAAACTCGGCCATGGTCAAGAAGGTGATAGGAGTAGACAAGATGCACGGATAAAAGGGAGAGAAGGCTCAAACACCCACGCAGATTAGTCCACTCGGCGTCGGCTCAACAATAGCACGTGGAGCAGTCCACCCGGCATGTGTTGCTCATTTGCTCAAGAAAACGCTCTCTCTTTTCTCGGCACGCCGGCTACACGAGCATATGCATGCTGGATGTCCTTCCTTACCGTCTTCGCCGATGCCGATCTCGTCTCCATTAATAATGGAGAGATCGGATGTTACAAAAGGAAATTGGCAAAGAAGCATGACGGCCATGGTAACTTAATCTTGAATGAGATAATAAATTAGACAAAGATCGATATAGATTTATTGCACTAAAATATATATTATTCTAGTTAAGTTATTTTGGATGAAGGTAATACGCTTTTGTAGTTTTGGTCAACGCAGATTCCTTTGTGAGCAGGATGCATGGCTTCTGGTCAAGAACAATACAATACTACTATCGGTATCAATATCCCGGAATTGCCGGTTTTGATCGCTCTCGATCTCGAGCTGAGCTCTGAGCCTCCGAAGCAAAGCAAAGCGTACTACTACACCTCATATAAGCTGCTGTTACTACTGGTGGAGTAGGAGTACTACCTCGTTTAGCACCAGAAATGACGTACGGTAGCTGCGCATTTTGACTTGGCGGTCGCATTTGCTGCAGTCTGCTCAGTGATCGGCGAGCCATCCAAGCCAACCAAACCAACCAACCCCCGCGTACGGCCGCACCGCCACCGACACTGCCGCGAGAGAGAGAGAGAGAGAGAGCGCCCCCACTTCCCATAATAATCCCATCTGGTTAGGCAGGCCGTGTAACTTACTACCCCCTCGCCACGCCACACATGCGCCCGGATCAACACACCAAGTACGACGACGCGTCCAGCCATGAGCCATCCAAGCCGTGTACGCTGCACGTATTAGGTTGGTGCAGCCAGCGTCTGCCGCGTCCAGTCGCCGGCCGAGACTTTTCTCTTAGCCACCCCCATGTCACCGCGCGGCCGCGTGCTCCTCCCGCGGGGAGCAGCGCGTGCGAGGTGGACGAACGACGAGGACGGCGGCGTACGTGCGCTGTTCGTCGCCGAGGCGCGTGCACCTGCGGCGGACGACGAGGCCGGAGGGAGAAGTATAAATGCGGCGTCGGTCGTCGTGGTGGGGGTGGGGGGGGGGGAGGGCCTTTAATTGTGGCGCAAGACTTGGGCCCAGGGCGGGCCGGGTGGGAGTGATTGCGAGACAACTTAAATGGGCAGGCAAGGGCCGAGTGTCGCAGCGACGCCACCGCTGGCGCCAAAGCCCACGCGGTTACATTTGTCGTCCGACGAGGCGGGCAGGTGGCACAGTGACAAGTTTCTGCAGCCACGTCGCCGGTACAAAGGGCCAAACCGGGGATTAAAAAAATAGAAATTTAGTGCAAATTTAAGGGCCCCTTTGAATCACAGGATTGAGAAAACGTAGGAATAGGAAAAACACGGGATTTTGGTAGGATTGCAAGTGTAAAACATAAGATTGTAAAACGCAGGAAAAACACATGAATGACCGTTTGATTGAACCGCAGGAAAAACACAGGAATTGGATGAGAGATAGACTCAAAGAAAAGTTACCAAGAGGTTCTACCTCATGTTAAATTTCCTCCAAAACTTGCATGGGAAGAGTCATTCCATAGGAATTTTATAGGATTTTATAGAATCCATTCGTTTGATTCAAATGGCTATATAGGAAAAATTCCCATAGGAATAAAATCCTCTAAGGGCCCCTTTGAATCGTAGGAATGAAAAAACAAAAGAATAGGAAAAACACATGATTCTGACAGGAATACAATTGTAAAACAGTGGATTACAAAACACAGGAAAAACACAGGAATGGCCGTTTGATTGGACAAAAAAAACGCAGGAATCAGATGAGAGAGATAGACTCAGAGAAAAAGGTTAGACCTCTTGTTAACTTTCCTCCAAAATGTGCATAAGATTACCCATTCTATATGAATTTTAAAAGATTGGATAGGATTCAATCCTTTGTTTCAAAGGCATTCATAGGATTTTTTTTTCCATAGAATTGAAAGTCTCCAAAATTCCTGCATTTTTCCTACAAATCAAAGGGGTCCTAAAATTCCTATGAATTTCCTTTGAATCAAAGGGGGCCTAAGATAGAAATTCAGTAGAGTATGTGCAAATGATGGCGTCTTTGTATGTGTGTTTCTGCCATGTAATAAGAACAGATGTTCAAACTTATGAGATTGAGTACTAAATTTCAAGCAGTAAATTCGATTGAAATATTTGAAATTAGGTGAAAACCATCATCTCAATAGATTGAGCACCGGATCCCGACCACTAATGAGATGATGATTTTCACCTAATTTCAACATATTTCAATCAAATTTACTGCTTGAAATTTGAATTTTACAAACTATTGAAAATTTCACTTGAAATCCATGAGATCTTAAAATTTTCACTGTTTTTGATCGGTTCATGGACCTTGAACCTGACCATTAGGACTGTGGAATGCGTTGGAGGTCCAGATCGGCTGACTGGAAATGAAGGAGCAGCAAGACACATTTTGCAGCGATGGCAGGACAGAATGTCAGATCATGTTGAACATCCTGCAAGCACCGAAAGGCAAGGCAAGAACCAGGGTTCAGGATGAACTGATTGACTGGCTGAAAAATGCGAACTCGGATCAAGTCAAGCTTCCTGCAGCTCGTGAGGCTGCCGCGCATGCCAGCAAAACGCAAACTGTTGGGGTGATCCAAGCACAGAAGGCTCTCACTACCTGAAACAGTGATCAACAGCAGGAAAGTCTATGTTATAGTGTCCAGATGACATGAACGTCTGAACATGAACTGTCAGAACAGTATACACCGAACAAAAGATGGAAGTAACATATAAGAAGAACATCTCATTTTGACAGGCTTTTGGGTGTAATGGCCCTTTACATTCAACATGAACTAGGACGGTGACATTTTTCACAGTGAAGCTAACTGTTACAAACAACGTCCAGATAAACTAGACAAGTACAGAGAGCAAAGGTAACAGATAGGCACCAGATTCCTACTGAATCAAAAACTCTTCTCTCGTAGCATACCAGCACAGAGAGAAATGCTAATCAGCACCTATCACACCAACAACATAATTATGGCACAGAAACTATCTACAAAATTCAAAGTTTTCTATGCAGAAGCTACAGGGTGAAACTCTGAAAGTGCAGACTGCATGATAATCAAAACAGTATTAATAGAGAGGCTATATATGGATCCCACAATTGAGTGACAACTGTCGACAACATACAATGCTGAAACTCTGAAAATGCAGACTGCATGATAAGCAAAACAGTATGAATACGGAGGCAACTGTCCACAACATGCAAATTAAACTAAAAAACTTAGCAGCCTGCAGGATCAGTGTAGCCGCTGTTTACCCTCCATGAATCCTAGCCCATAACAGATAGCCTAACAGATAACAGGGCATTGTCATGGCATCAATATCATTTCTGTTGATAATAGAGTCAACGCTGCACAACTTGTATCATCATACTGTGTTAGCTCTGGACGTTATGCCGGACGTGAAATGAACATGTCTGGACGTTATGCCGGGCGTTGAACACCATTTCTTTTAAAGAAATAAGTAACAGCATTCATAAAACACAGGTATCAGTGTTGAACAAATTTGAAGAAATGAAATGTTCAGATCCACACTCCACAGAATGTATATCATCATAAATACTTGACATGGTAAAGCCCATTTCACAAACTAAGATAGACAATCTAGAAAAATATTCATTTTTCAGTTTTCCCAGTGGAAAGAACTGAATTTCCCCATGAATGATACATATAAAAGCAGTGGAGGCATGCCCACACACAGACATGCCTCCACACAAACAGAGGATTGTCCTTGCAAAAGTTCCTAGAAGATATGACAATAGGAACAATATTACACAGAGCTAATATATCAGTAGATACTTCAAGTAAGAAATTTCTACTGATCTAGAACAGTATGCACTCGATTTTAGAAACAAAAAGGAAATATTGGAACTATGAGATCCAGTAGAAAGAACGGAGATGGCACATAATAAGATTCAAAGGAAGGCACTGTTCAGATGGATAAATGCAGTAGAGAATATGAAAGGAAAATTAGGAGAGCAAGGAAAACACTGTGCAGATCGATAAAATACGCACATACTGTAGACAATATGAAAGGAAATGGGAAGTGCATGAAGCAATTAACAACCGTGAGAAAATACAAAATGCTCGGAACACAAAGGGGAAATTTGGGGATTCTACTAAAGAAACTATAGTAGCCTATAACAGAGGTTACAGAACATGGAAAAGAAAGGTCAGACAATTTCCCTTTCACTTGGCTAGTTGATATGTTCTAGACAGTTTTCAAATTTAAAGTACACAAATAAGAGGATTGCATATCTATCTTTTGCATGGCCATCATATATATTATCAGGTATTTTCTTCACCAGTGGGACACCTAAAATGGTGTAAAACAGTGTATCTGAAGCAATCTATTGCGATGAATGATGTGTTCAAACTAAAAAAATTGCATGCACATATAAGCTCGTTAGTTACATCTGTATGACCAAATAGACAAAAAAGAAATCCATCATTTAAGAAAGGAATAACCAACCCATGGAATCTATAATTGTCCTTGCTTCCAGGAAAGTGTACGCAAGGGAACAGCACCTATACTCATTACTTAAAGAGTCACTCTCTAAAATATTTATCACTAGATTTGATGAGATTGGCATATGATACGACAAAAGGAAGTGTTCCTTTTGCTATTCAGTGTTTAATTCTACAGTTGGTGTGAATGATTAGCGTAGAATTGCAAGCTTCAACCGCTAAGTAGGAGCTACAATGGTGTCCAATTTGCTTCAACTGCTAAGTCAGACATCAAAATACTTTTTCACCTAATCTAACTGAACCCAGAGTAAACCACGATTGAGGGTAAAAGTGGTACCTTTCTGGCAATCTAGTGTCAAGCAAAAGGAAGTAATCAAGCATCACACATTCACCACCCATTTCTCTCTCCTTTTTTTTCCAAACATAGTTCATCCTTTATTTAACTATCCATTACTTAGTGAGCAGCAGAGGAGGTCTCCCCACCTTCTGTGCCAAGACCATACAACACACCGGCATACTTCTCGGTTAACCCATTGAAGTATGCTTCCTTGAGCTTTTTGAATGACAGCGCGGTCAACAGCGAGTCGGAACCAGCCTGATGACAAATTCCAACGCGCTCAACATCAAGCAGCTCGGCAAGCTTGTTCAGCCCACCATGGAGGCTGTTGCAGAACCGCATCAAGTGCTTGATGTCATACACGACGGGGAAATATATCCTGATGAGGTCGAAGAATCCGGTTATCGTGTCTGGCAGGTATGTGCCGGTGAGCAACTTGAGCAAGTAGCCAAAGTCGTATCCGCTATGGAACGTAACCCAGCGAACCTCAGAGTTCATCACAACGCCCGACGACATGAGAAGCTCAGCGAAGCGGCGAGCATCAGCGCCGTCAGCCGAGTGACGGGTGAAGTCAATACCGCTGCGCCGGAGCAAGTCAATGGAATCTGCAGCAGCGACGTCGGTCCGGGGATCGAAGCCACGAAAGTTGAACTGCCAAACACAAGGTCGACCCTCGGGGCCAAGCGACGGGAGCCCACCATGCTCATTCGAGAAGGTTAAACCAAGCTGGATAAGCTTCAGCATGTCGACGTTGGCTTTGAGCGTTGCGTAGTTGAAATCGGCGTTGGACTTGAACGTCCCGAGCGGCCTGCAGACGACGCCCGGGAACTCCGTGTCCATCGCGACGTACGGGAAGTCGTCAACGATCTCCCGAATCACCGCGAACTCGGCCTCGAGGTTGTCCTCCCACACCTCGCGGATCTCCACCCCGTCGGGCTTCTCGGCGGCCGGCGTCGCCATCGGCTCGCGCGCATCCAAATACCTCGAGCTTTCCCCTCCTCCTCCTCCCCAGCAACGGCTACGGCTCGCGCGAGAGCGAGAGCCGGGGGAAACGGGAGCGGCGGCGGAAGCGGCGGTGGGGCCCAGGGGTCAGCAGCGCGGGGCGGGGGAGGCTACCATGGGGAGTGGAGGAGATCCAGCAGGGGGGAGGGGGGAGGAGGAGGAGGGCGTCGGATTGGGGAAATTTTCCGGGCGGGGGGGGGGGGGTGGGTTGGGGTGTTGGGGGGAAGAAGAGAGGAATGGGGAAAGTGGGTGACGTGCGCCGCCGGGCCAGGATTGGTGCCACGTGGCGGGGCCCGCACGGTATGATTGCCTGCTCGCCCGAGCGTGCCGACGTGGGTGGGTGGGGTCACTGCCCGGTGGGACGAGGCGAGGGGGCGTGTTTTGCGTGGTAAAGGTGGCTCGCACGTCAGGTCAGGTGAGGAAGGAGGCTGGCTGTGACTGGCCGAGCAATCTGGTTTCCCTTTCTCGGTAGGGTGAGCGGGTCGGTGAAGGGAGCTTGCAGATTTTGTTTGTCATGTTGACTGTAGCATGTTTAAAGTTGGAGAAAGATACGTTAGGGTTTAAGGTGGTGTTTGGTTGGAGGGACTAAAGTGGGGCTAAACTTTAGTCCCTCTCACAAAAACATAAGTCCCTGTGAGAGGGACTAAATTTAGTCCCTAGTTCCCAAACACCCCCTAAGTTAGGATGGAATAGATCAAAGTAACGAATGGTATAAAAGATAAATATTTTGAGTAAAATTTAGTCGGCCAAAAAACTATACTGGGTGACCACGCAACAACGATAACCAGTACAGCCGGGCGCGTCTTCATTGGTTTGAATAATTTTTCTTAGGGTTTTGCTAATCTCAATAAATATAGTTACTTTAATCATTCTTGGAAAAAAATCAGTGTTTGATATATCTTTCAGATCATAGACTAGACAATACAAATTACGATATACTTAAACGGAAGGAGTAAGTCTATAATCCTCCTACAAACTATCTTGTACTTTTAAAAGTTGACTCTCAACTCATATATCAATCATGTTCACTTTTTAATTTTTAAAACCATACGAGAAAAGTAAAAAACCATTTTTTAGCTATATATTTTTTTCCTACGATAGAAGACAACTAAACACCAATACCATAAGAGTTGGACAAAAATTCATGTTTATCAAATGCATGTGTGCTTTGTTTAGAGGTTAAGAATCGAGACGTGATAAAGCTATCCAAAACTTTGTTAACATACCACCCTAAACACACAAAATTACACGTTAACACTCAATACCAAGTCTATTATCAAGCACAATCAATTGATCGGGCATACACATTGCAATGTTTGTCACCGAGGTTAACTGGGGTTCACTGCCCAATGGACCGAGGGGACGTGTTTTGTGTGATAAAGATGCCTTACACGTCAGGTGAGGAAGGAGGCTGGTTGTGGCTAGCCAAGCAATCTAGTTTTGCTTCCTCTATAGAGAGAGCAGGTTGGTGAAATGAGCTTGGGGTTACATGGGTGGGGGCAAGGTCACCGATAAGTTATTGTCCGGTGGGGCGAGGCGGCGTGTTTTGTGTGGTAAAGGTGGCTTGCACATCAGGTGAGGAAGGAGGCTAGTTGTGGCTAGCCGAGCAATCTGGTTTACTTCCTATATAGGGAGAGTGGGTTAGTGAAGGGAACTTGAATAATTTTTCTTGTCATGTTGACTAAGTATATGTTTAAAATTATGGAAACATATGTTAGGATCAAGTTAGGATGGAATAGATCAAAGTAAGGCATACTTATAAAATATGGATTGTATAAATGGTGAGTATTTCAGCTAAAGATTGGCCGGGCATAATACTGTACGGCCTGACTGTGACTGCACAGCAACGACAATTAGTATAGCCCAGAGCTGCCTTTGTTTGTTGTTTTGAATATTTTATTTAGGGTTTTGGTAATTACTTTTTAGCTTATTCTAAGAAAACAATGTTTGATACTTTTGGATCATAGTATAAAAGATACAAACTACAATATACATGAAATGGAAGGAGTAAGTCTATATTGCTTCTATCAACTATATTATATGTTTTAAAACTGGCTCTCAACTAATATCAACCACATTCACTTAGTTTTTAAAACCATCCGAGAAAAAGAAAAGAAAACCTCATTTTATATATTTATTACAAAGCAAATCAACTGTGCACCGATAATGTAAGAGCTCGATCACAAATTCATTTTAATCGTATATATAATGGTGTGCTTCATTTGAAGGTCTGAAACGAAGACATGATAAAGCTACCCAAAACAAAACTTTGTTAACTTACAACTTTAACACACGAAATTACACGTCAACACTGAATACCATGTCTATCATCTAACACAATCGATTGATCCGACATACACACCACAATGTAATGCTTTTGTAAATGTGGGCAAACTAGGGAGCATCCAAACATGGGCCAAATTCAATTTTAGCAAGGCACGTACCACATGACCCCATGATTCGATTGGATTGTTGTTACATAAAAGGCAAAAGATGAAAATGAATTGACTATTATAGTGCTTATATTAGCAACATGGTATACCATTTGTGTGCATGAACAACTATAGTGCAAGGATTGCTATGCATGGCATGCCTAGGAGATTTCACGGACGCAAGTCCTCGGCGTCGCCTCGCCTCTCCTTTTTTTCCCCAAGTGTATCGCAGGGTTCTGGAGTTGCCCAACGCATCGTCTCGAGTAGTGGTTTTGTAACTCCCTAACCGACACGTGCCGAGGCAACCGTGACCTCTGCAGATATGGTAAGGGGTTGCGGAACCACGGTCCCCATCGCCACAGATGCTTGGCTCTGACGTGGTGGGTTAAGAGGACTATCCACGTATCCGACGAGCTGAAACAAACTTTCTCAGTCCTATCCACATATCCGACGAGTTAAAACAAGCATTCTCTAAAAAAAGAAATAAGGGTAGGAGTACACTCCTAGCAAATACGGAGGAGCCGGATTGGTGGCACTGTGTGGCAGACTGGCTTGGCTCGGTGGCCGCACCCGCACCCGCACCCGATTAGTCGACCACCCAAACCTGATGTCTCTCCCTCTCCAACACATCGGCAACCAACCACCCTCAACCTCTCCTCTCTGCTCCGCTCCGCTCCGTCCTCCCGTTGATTCGCTCGCCGCGCCGCGCCCCGCCCGCGCGCTGAGATCCGAACGGCCGCCCTTCCCCCCCGCCGAGATCGATCTCCACCCCCCCACGACCGCTAAGACGGCGCCGACGAGGCGGGAGCCATGGAGGCGTCTTCTTGGGACGCCCTTCGCAAGCAGGTGATGACCCCCATATCCCGCGCTCCCTTTCTTTCTTCTCCCCGACGGACTCCTGAGATCCGGCCCTGTCCTCCGCCACCGCCCGCGTGACGGAAGCGACGATGGGTTTATGTGGGGGATCCTGTGAATTGATTGGGAGGAGGCGTCTCCTGTGAATGAGATTGGGGCAATTGTCTGCGCCGTTGGTGGGTGGTGGAGTCCGTAGCCTGCCCGCTCTTGGAGAAAACAGCGTATCTTCTTGCGTTTTCGTTGTTGTAACAAGATATTGTTTGCCATTGGATAGGTGGTAGACTGGTAGTAAAGAAGATGTGCCTTCGGACATCCATAGCTCCATGAACGGTTTACCATTCCATTTTCTATTGAAAGGGTGAACTTGGAGCAATGTGACATACTGACATGGACCCACTAGCTAGATCTTCATGATCCTACCAAACTGTCCCCAAAAGGGACAGTTTCAGATGGAATTCTGTACCTTCAGCATATTTCTTAGCAATGCAGTTGTCGAGAACAGAGCGAATGGACCTATCACAATTGTTTTCAAACTTTATGTTCTTTGTTACTACTGTCTGATTGTCTCTATACTGATCCTTGAATTGGTCTGGGCTTTGAGCCTTAGTCTAACCATCTTTCATGGATCGAGCTTGTTTAGCTGTTCTTCCAGACCATCAGAGTGTACGACTATTACATATTTTGTTTTCGTATTGTCTGACAAAGTGGTTCCAAGTTGTCTATGCCAATGTCGTCATTACCCTAGTACATCCTATTGCTGCAATCGGAAAATATACCTTTAATGGTTTCTTGGTAATTCTTTGAGTAGGTTAATTCATAATTTAAGCAGAAAATCCAGGTCTCATTTTTTTTGCAATACCCTAGTGCCTGCACCAGTTTTGAATGGCTGTGATACCTTGTTTGTATTCAATTGACTCTTTCAGGCAAGGAGGTTGGAAGCTCAGTTAGATGATCAAATGATTGCATACCGTAAATTGGTGTCTATGAAATCAGATGGTTCAGAGAATGATATCGAGTCTGATATAGAAAGATCACTGAAGCAGCTTCAGCAAGTAAATTCTCAAATGCAAACTTGGGTATCATCAGGAGGCTCTGAAGTTCTTTCTCACACATTGACCCGTCATATGGAGATTTTGCAAGATCTTACTCAGGTTCAGAACACCTTACACTAACTGTCTATAATGTGCATAACTGTAGTTAGTTTAACACTTTTCTGGAAAGAAGGCAAGTGAATTTTGTAATATATTAATAGAGAAGGTGATAGTATAACTATCATTTTTAATCAAGCTGAATCATAATCTTATGTTGTCCTAATGTGTCGTAAAACATATTTCTCTGAACTACATGTAAGACAGCTATTCATTAGTCATAATTTTAAGTTTGCCTAAATGCAATGCAGGAATTCTATCGGCTTCGATCAAGCCTCAGAGTGAAGCAACAACATGCTTCGCTCCTTGACCTAAGAGATTTTGACAGAGCAAAGTTTGATGTTGAGAGTGGAGACTCAGCCGATCAAGCTCTTCTTAGAGAACAAGCTGCAATCAGTAGGAGTTCTGGACAGGTAGGACAGTCCTCCATCCTTGTTTTTTGGAACCTTTGAATTTCTTATATGATATTTGCATCACTTGTTTTTGTTAATTTTAGAAAAAAAAAATCGTGCATCAATAAATGTAATTAGGATGCAGCTTAACTGAACAGGTGGAGTTACACTTTTTTATGGAGTAGTGCTATATTCCCTCCGTCCACAAATATAAGGGAGTTTAGGTTGTTAGCAAAGTTTAAAGTTGAGTTTAAATTACTTTGATGCCCTTGGGACTTTACTTGATTAGGAAAGATCACGAGTAGCAATGCAGTGATTGGATGGATTGGGAAAGTAGTGCTCCAAAATCCCTTATATTCGTGGACAAATGGAAAAGCCCCAAATCCCTTATATTCATGGGTGGAGGGGAGTAGGAGGGTTTTTACATCTCATCAGTTGAATCTAATCAGTTGGTGGTTATGAAAAAGCAAGATGCACTCACAACATGCAGCATCGGATTTTGTAAGAAGTTTGTAAGGATTTTTTTTGTACGTGTACCATTTTCCTTTGTTACGAACATAAACTCTAAAGCAGTTTAAAGTTTTAAACTCAAGTTGCTTTGCCTGCATTTCGGGTGCTAAGTATTTTCAGGTCAAAGAAAGGAAATGTAATTCCTGCACTAAGTGTTTTTTTGGGAAATCTATGTACTAAGTGTTTTTGGTCTTAAAGATACCGAAAAGTTGATTACTTGCACTGGGTGCTATACTGTCGTGGAAAATATTACTACACAATGAAGGGTAGTTAAACTACTGTGTGTAAGATTTGTGCCTCGTGCTTGAAAATTTCTTCGCCTTTGAAATCCTCATATTGGATTTAATATTCTTGACAACAGCTAGCATTTAGTATATTTAGCGATTGTTTGGCTACCAGGATAACTGACAGCTAGCATTTAGTATATTTAGTGATTGTTTGGCTATCAGGATGCACTGAATGTGGGAGTTTTCCTGTGAGGCTGTGACTCGGGTGGATGGCTAGGATTAAACATACGCTTTGTTGGGTGGGAAATCTTTTTCCTAATCCATTATCCAAACAGGCCCGTGTTGACTATCTACCTTTTCAGTTACATGTCTCTGTCCTTAATTTTATCTAGAAAATCATTGAACTTTTCCAAATTGTGTAACCAACAAATTAATTCGAGAAGACTTTATAGTACAAAACCACAAATGGCTGCTAAACCATAAAAAGTAAAAAACCAGAATTGTGCATAATGATTGTTGCCCTGTATGCAAATTATACTGATAGTCTGTAATACTCTCAATGCATAGCTGGCCAAGGGCCCTTGTAGTCTTGTACTTTCTGATTTTACTAGCATAATGTCATCAGAAATTAGTACTAAGAAATTAGATGTTATATTAGTGAAACATGGAATTTAATTGAGAAAATTTCGTCTCTTGAAACCTCCGCTTATACTACTGAGAAAATCCCCTATGTACCCATGAAAGTTCACCTAATCCCTTCTATACCCCTGAATTTTGCTCAATCCCTTACATACCCCTGAATTTTAGTTTGGATCCCTTCCATACCCTTTCCGCTAGTTGACCGTTAGTTGACCGTTAAATTCTTTTGAAAAAGTCCATTTTGCCCTTTGCTATGAAGAAATATAATAAATTAATGAAGTACATTGTTGGAATGTAAAATTTATTGGAGGAGACTATTATATTTATGAGTTTGTGATGCACCATATTATTTGTGACAAATTTACTTTTACATATGATATAAAAAGTTAATACTTATTTATTAGTTATTAAAAGTTCTTTTATGTAGCATATGTGTTTTCATAGTAATACAACAGATTTGTTTATTACTATCAGAACACATATTCTAAAAAAATGTTTTAATAACTAATAAATAAGTATTAATTTTTTATGTCATATCTAAAAGTATATTTATCGCAAATAATATGGTGCATAACTATCTCATAAACATAATAGTCTCATATAACAAATTTCTATGCTCCAACAATATACTCTATTAATTTATATGCTTCTTTATACCAAAGGGCAAAATGGACTTTTTCATAAGAATTTAACGGTCAACTAACGGAAAGGGCATGAAAGGGATCCAAACTAAAATTCAAGGGTATGTAAGGGATTGAGCAAAATTCAGGGTACAGAAGGGATTAGGTGAACTTTCAGGGGTACACAGGGGATTTTCTCACTACTATTTTAGATTGATCATACTGCCCTCCACCCTCATTTCTATGCCTGAACAATAAATTGGAATGATGTCAGATGGATAATGTGATATCACATGCTCAAGCAACGCTAGGAACTCTCATGTCACAACGATCAACATTTGGTGGCATCACTACAAAGATAAGCAATGTTAGTAGCCGGCTTCCTACGGTATGTATCTGCATATCATATGCCCAAGCTACTCAAGTCTATTTTCTCTTGTGATATACAACTCAACTTTTTTGACTAAATCTGACAGATCAATCATATCCTCGCGTCAATTAGAAGAAAGAAGTCGATGGACACAATCATTCTTTCACTTGTCGCGTCTGTCTGCGCCTTTCTTATTCTCGTCTACTGGTTGTCAAAGTAGGGGCTGTCAACTTGTCATAGCAAAGGCATTAGGGTGTTGTAAGTTTGGATCACACTGTCAGTGCAGATAATCGAGATTGGTGTTTGTACAATATTGATTCAATGTTATCCTGTTTTGATGGTTCTTCAGGCATTGTGCCTCTCACTGCACAGCCGCATGACTTCTAGTATCGACTGGACCCATATACTACATGTACTTGTACATGAATACGTGTGATTTCCTGAATGAAGATTAGTTTGGCATTTCTCCCTGTACGCACGCGGCACGCCTTATCTAAGTTTATGATTTTTGAAGGTTGATGCATTTGTGCCCGTTCTTGTGGCCTGCTAGGTTGCTGGTTGCGGTTTCCAGGTTGAAGCTGTTCAGGAACCAAGCAAAAGCAGGAAACATCTACAAATTATCCCAGGTAAACACAATCATCAACTGCAACGAGGGATACTAGCAAGAGGAGGTAGAAGGAAAAAAAAATTCTTGCAGAGCCCCTGCCGAAACTTTTCTGGCGACGATAAAGAGGATTGAGAAACGGTCTATGGTGGCAATTTTTCTGCCGACGATGATAAGGGGACTTGCTAAGAAACTTTCTATGGTGGCCGGATCCTTATGTACGAGACAGGGGTTTCAAAGCATGGGTTAAGGCTTAAACCATAGAGAATAAGATCGGCAGGTTCATAGCATTACACATGGTTTTGACTGAAGTTTCTTCTTAAGGCTGTGTTTAGTTCACAACAAATTTGAAAGTTTTGTTAAAATTGGAACGATGTAACAGAAAAGTTAGAAGTTTGTGTGTAGAAAAGTTTTGATGTGATGGAAAAGTTGAAAGTTTAAAGTTTGAAAAGTTGTGGGATGGTCTTTTCTTGCCTGTCTGAGTTTTTGTAAGAGATGTGTTCTCCCTCCATTCTATAAGAAATAACTAATACTAGATTTGATACATTCTATTATTACAGATCTGGATAGTAGATCGTTTATATTCATAATACTGCACATCCGGATGTATCAGATTTATTTTATTTCGTCCGACGAAGACAGTAGCCCTACCCTGGGAACACCGAAACAGGCCAAATCGGAGTAAGCAAACGACGAGACGGCACGACGGCCCGCACGGCGCCACCAACCACATGCGTCCGCCCGCCCGCGCATGATTCCGCCCGGCGTACGTGCGTTTTCGGTGACGCACGACGCTCCGTCCGAGAAAAATGAAGCCGTAGCCGTGAAGCGCCCACAACCACAAAGCCCAGGCCAGGCCACAATCGAAGCCGAAGCTGATTTCTCTGTGTCCGTCTGTCCCCATGTCGTCGCCTCGTCGCCAACTGATTCCTGCCAAAAAAACAAGTGCCACAGCGCTACACAGACCACATGATACTACCATATACGTATATGACTCTACTAATAATCTAGTGAATTCCATGTTGCTTCGACGGAGCCGGGGCCAGCCGAGCCGAGCCGCGACGAGACGGGATGAGAGGCCACGGCCCCCCATCCACGTGCTCCTGCCGCGCAATCTGCCCCGTGCGCTTCCCGGTTTCGGTGTTGCACCGTACCGCGCCCGCACACGGTTTCTCTCTCGCGCGCGCGCCCACAGCGAAAATCCGAGAGACCGAGACGGACGGCGGCGGCGCCCTCGCCTCCCGACGGCGTCGCCTCGTATCCTCGCGCAAATGCACGGTGCATCCGCTGATCATTCACAGGCATCACAGCGAACGCGACGTCTTTGCGCGCAAGCCTCTCCCGGTCACGGCTTCGCTTGGTGTCGAATCAGGCGCATGGCCAAAGGATTAACAACACGGCGTCAGATCAGATCCGGGTCAACTATTGTGGGCTAAAAATCCTTTCAGGACAAGCCTTTTGTTTTTTTTTGTTTTTTCTTTCCTCTCTTCCCGTGGCTAGGAATCGCCGCCGTAACAAATGCGTACGGGATCGCCACCACATGATGATGCAGTAATGTGGAAACGAGGGCAAACACAGCTCACGCCAGTTCCGGTCAAGCAGTGCTGCTGCTGCTGCTGCTGCTCATCAGAAAATTTTCTCGACGGAGAGTGATTCGCACGGATATATACGACGCCATACCCATGCTGTTTGGTTTTTGGGTTATCGACTGCAGCAGCAGTCGAGTTTTGATCGAACTCTAGAAATCAATCGAGTTTTGTTCTACCCAGGAGGCCAGGATGTCTGAATTCGATGTATCTTCTGGGTGTGTCAATAGTCAATAATACGTATTGAGACTGAGGGGGCGAGAGCAATATTTTGCTACCATTATATATGCCAATAAAGCTCTCCTTTCACCAAAAGGCTCTTCCAAGACCTTGCGGAGTTGCAGCAACCAATTGAACACAGAAAATGGTCGACATGAACTCATTTTTGAACACACACAACTGAAAGCCGCGGAACTGGGCGAGATTTTTGCTAAAAAGTAGGGCCTCCGATGCAAAACCACTCACTCCAACACGACAACCATCCCAATTTCCAGCGAGACATATACTATATCAGACCAAAAGAAAAATGCACCATCAGTCTTACTATTGTTAATGCTTCTCCTCCTCTTCCATGACAGCATACCAAGAACCGCATAAGATTAGCACACAGTTTCGCTGATGAAACACACTCATTAGCAGGAGCCCCCACTGTACCGTCATTGTTTAGTGAAGTAGTAGCGTCTCAACCACTAGCTCGAACTGATTAGCAAAGAGAGAAACCACTAGCAGCAGCAGCCAGCAACAACAATTCCCAGCGAAGCACCAGCATGTGAATGTCGCCATCTAAACAACCCAGCTTTTTGTCAGACATCACCCCCCATGATTGATGGTTAAATCTGCCGTTGCTGCCAATGATATGTCGTAGCCGATCAAATCCTTCCCCTTTCTGCTAAGTGGCCCAGGAGACAGCGGCAAATCCAGTGTGTTTAGCAGAAGCAGCAGCAGCAATCAGATTATTGTAAGTGAAGGGAGATCTAGTCATGTAACCACTTGGTCTAATCGCTTTACTCTAAATTAACATCTCTGTCAAAAAGTCCACAATTGTGAATACCTAATCAACCAACCAGATGACTTGAGGGAATTAGCCAATTACTAAGCAAATTCGCCACCTAATTTGGAAAAAGGAAGACCATGGATCATAAATACGACTTCTCTAACTCTTCTATCTGTTTGATTTCTTTGGCTTTGAAATTTACTAATGAACAATTTGGTCAGCTGATGAAACAATTTTCAAAAACTGCACAAGAACATTGCTCGGATAACAATTGCAACTTACAACAATCCGAAGAAGATAGAAGAAGAAGAAGAAGAAAAAATCTCACTGAATTACCATCAATCATCATCAATGGAAAGAATGCTTTGCTCGGCGCCAATTGCTAGCATTTCCAGGCGTAGACGAGGAGGGAGAAGCCATGGCCGCGCTGCAGCTCGGCCTCCTCGGGGCTCGCCCAGTCCATCACCGTCGAGCCGCTCGCCCACGACGCGGAGGAGGAAGCCACCGACGCCGATGACGACGAGCTCGCCTTGGCCAGCCTCCGGGCTTGCCCCCTCTTCCTCCGGTTCTCCCCGTTGCTGCTGCTCTCGCTCCAGTCCCCTCGCCCCCACCTCCCGAGGTAGCCTGCCCACGCGCCGCCGCCGCCGCCGCTCCCGGCGTTTTCGAGGAGGTGCTCGTCCTTGACCTCGGCAGAGTCGCGGTCGTCGCCGGCGATGTCGGCGAGCTCGAAGCGGAAGATGAAGACGGCGTGGGCGGGCTGGGGAGGCGGGGTGACCGCGGAGGCGTCGGCGGGGGCCGTGTCGCGGTTGGGGAAGAGCCAGTGGTGGAGGTCCCAGGAGACCTGGACGCCGTCGCCGCCGCCGAGGTCGACCTTCTCGGTGCCGCGGAACTTCCAGCGCAGGCGCCGGATGTGGAGCACGCGCTCGCCGTCGACGGTGACCGACATGCCGACGTCGGCCTTGTCCCTCTCCTTGTCCTTGTCCTTGTCCCTGTCCTTGCCGTGGCCGCGCGACACGAGATCCACCGAGATCTCCCGTTCCTTGCCGCGGACGTTGACGAAGGTCTTGTGGCCGCGGCCGTGCCCCGCGTCGCGCATCGACACGTGCTCCCGCCGGGAGATGAGGACGGCGTCGGGGCCGGGGCCGCGCCGCGCTTTCGTCTTCCTGTACGCCTCCTCCGCCATGTCGCCCGCGACGAGCGCCATCTCGCCGTCGACCACGACGGCGACGAAGTACCCCGACGACGGTTCGGGCGAGCCTGGGCAGGCGAACCGCGCGCGCGTGAGGTCCCACGCCAGGTCGACCCGCCGGTCCCGCACGCGGAACCGCTTCGACCCGCGCCGCCGCCACAGCAGCCACGGCCGGACCCGCACCGCGACGGTCGCCTCCTCCTCCTCCTCCTCCTCCTCCCCCCCGTAGCACTCCGCCCCCTCGTCGTAGCACCCGTAATCCGACGCCGCCGAGGACGACGCCGCGGCCCACGCCCCCGCCCCCGCCCCGCCCGCCACGCGGAGCACGACACGGAGGCTGAGCCCGAGCGCCGCGCGCGACCACGACAGCGCCGCAACCCCGAGCCGCGTCTCGTACACCGACGTCGCCAGGCTAGTCCCCACGCCCCCTGACGACTGCCCCGCCACGCCCACGCCACCGCCACCGCCCCCTCCCGCGCCCCCTCCCGGCGCGCCGCGGAAGCATGCCGGTATCCCCCCCTCGGGCATAATCAACCCCCACCTCGCCTCGCCTCGACACGAGCTCCCCTCGCCGTGACCTTCTCGCCGCCGCGGCGTTCGCGTCTACGGCGAAGGGGGAGAGAGAGAGAGGAGGAAAGCAAGCAGTAGACTTGGGTCGCGGCGGGAGAGGTGGGAGATATAACTCTGGTCTACGGGCGAGGGGTGGGGTTGGGTGGGGCCGAGACACGTTGGACCCAGCTGGGGGGTGGGGCCCACCTCGCTGCGACTACTGGGCGCAGCAGCAAAAGCCACAGGTTGGACCGAGAGCTCTCTCCGGTACGGTCTCTCCTCGGTTTGGGCCCCGTTTGATGTGTTTTCCTCCTATTTTTGACAAAACCACTGCAAATTCGCGTGCGATTTCTAGTTTTTTTTTTCAGACGTACTAAGCTTGTCAACTCCATTTCAGAGACCGTTCCGGTTTTGTCTCTTGAGGAGAAAGTTTCGATACCGGACGATACTGGTGTACCATTTTAGAGTTTAATAAAACAATATATATACTTATCTCTAATATGTCGAATTATAAGGGCATGCTCATTTTGTTTTCGCTTTCAACTCCATAAAATTTAATAATGGCTTATTTTTACTTTTTTCGAATTTCAGTAACGTTTGATGTGTTTGCTCTAAAACTTTGCTAAATTTTAATGGAGTTTTTAAGTAAGATAACAAATGTAAGACATGGTTTTGTTGTTAAAGTTGGAGCTGAGCTAATCGCGGCACAAACATTAATGAATGATTAATTATATATTAGCTATTACAAATATAAAAAATAGATTTATTTATTTTTTTAAAAGAAAAATATTATATTGAAGGTTTTTTCTTTTAAAGTATCATTTAGGAGCATCCCACGAGCCAAAATCAGATGATGCTTAAGAATATGTTTGTCTTGTTATCTTCGCTAAAATATGATAAGGTTAAAAGTAACAACAAAGCAAATAAACCCTAAGTATATAATATTTCAATGGCTCCAAATTTGTGAGTTTGTTTTATATCTCATAATTCAAAAAGCAAGTTTAAGTAATGGGATATTAAATTGGGCATTTCAACCCAATTCACACATGTGATAACTCAATTTTGGATCGTTATACCCTGATGGACAGGACAGAGTGGCCAAAATTGGTCGAAACGGTCGGTATTGACCAGAATGACCGGTATTGTGTGGCTGGGATGATACATCCCTAATCCCTTGGTGTGCATAGGTTTGGGTGGTGGAGCGGTACAATACCAACCAACCCATTCAGCCCGGTGCCCGAACAGAATTGATAAGTTTGCGTGGAACCGTAACAAATTCGCGTTCAACAAGAAGAGTGGATGCGTAAGCCGATACTCCCTCCACCAAAAAAAATAAAACAAAACAGAACTGAATGTAACATATCGTAATAAATGTATCATATCCGATATTAGATTATTGGTTTTTTAACGGGAAGGAAGGAGTAAAGTGTAGCAATGTCAACTGCAGATGGCCAGATGCTACTCACTCGTTCTGTTATTTTAGTCGGGTTGTTTCGAGAAGAGAGGGCAGTTGTTGTTGCTATTCAGCTGGGTGCAGGTCAGATGGTCAGTCTGGTTGATTCCCGTTTTCGGCCTGCAGCTGAATCGAAAATTCCAAACCTTGGTTTGCCACTTGTTAACACGCTATACTTCACATCGTTCATCCTCCGAAGACCCAAACTTGCTGTTAATTAAACGCGTGGTTACGACCAGACGTTTTAGGTTAGAACGGGATCAATGAACCTAAGCTTGATTATTTTTCTCGAACGCACGGGAGATCTACAAATAAAAAAGAATTCAAAAGAACTTACACAAGCCCATTAAAATAGGGTTTAAGTATAAAATGGATTGGCAAAGATATACAAAAGGATTACGACCATATATGATCAAAAACTAGTAGACCTCTGGCTCCCGTTGATTATACACCATAATTTAGTCTCATCTATAATATCTTGCATGATGATATTGTAATTAGGTGAAGTCACTTAAAGGAACAACATATAAATGGATGTCGCTAAGCTTGATTATTAGTGATGTTGGTTCAGGTTGGGTTACTTATCTCCCACCAAAAAAAGAGAGAGCTAATTTGTGTGGATGTCACTTCTTTTGTGTTGTCAAAATGGGAATTGATTGCGGATTAAGATGTCCGGTACTTAGTGTGGAACAGTACTGAACATGATTGATTCTGCTGGTTTAGGGCTGGGAATTATGGATTATGCACTCTGAAACGGAGAGGAAGGTCGGTCATTTAACGAACTACAGTGCCGCAATTACTAACCTGATTGGAAAGTGTTTAATTACATTTTGGCTGTTTGGAATGAGCTGGCGATGCTACGTTTCTATAATATCTTTTGAATCTTTGTGCCTTTCTGTATTAGACTAAGTGTCACATTTAACGTTTTTCAAAAGTAATCCATATCGGCTTCAAAGTTGTTTAATGCAGCGGCTGATCTCCTGAAATTTTCTTGGGTGTGTGCCCATATCACGTCTCAGAGAAAAAACTCTAGAAGTATTCACGCACGCAAATACAAATAAAGTTTTAAACCATTCTATTCAACGTTGATCGACCTTTGATTTTTTTTAAAAAAAGTAAAAGATCCGCAATGCATTCAAAAAATAGGAAATAATATTGTTTGGTAAATGAAACCTCTAAAATAATTTCTTTTCTTTTTTTATCGTTTCTTTTTTAAAACCAATATAAACTACTCCATCCAATCTAAATATAGCAAATTCCGACCTTCAAAATTTGTATCAAAACATAGCACTTCTTCACGTGCTCACTTGTCTTAACCAATAATAACCATTTCTTATATAAAATGTTCACCTGATTTCTCTTAACTATCACAATTCTCCCTTATGTAATTCACCTTTCTCCTTATTCTCTTTGGAAAAAACCGGAGATGCTTATATTGTTTAGATGGATGTATTAGGGTAAATAACTTTATCGATTATTTTTTTTTGTAAATTATCGAAGTATAATATGATTTGCCAGACATGGTACCACATATTATGAAAATAGCTTAAAAAAAACAAGCACCGATCATCACATCTGCTTAACACGGGACCTGATACTATCATCATTCTCCGGATTCTTGTAGCCCTTTTGAAAGACCATGCCTTTGCCTTTTTTCCGCTTACGAGGCCTCCGCCTAATCATTTATCTGCTGGCTAATGATGCAATCATGCAAAGCCGTGCTTCAGCAGGTCATTAAAAATCATCATACATAGAGCCTCGATTCAACCGTGTACATACACTCGTTATATCAGCGACAGTATCAAAACAAGAACCTCTTGATGAACATGCACGCCCAAGCTGAATTAATCCAGGACGACGTCGTACGAAACAAGCGGCCGTTCTTTTTATTTATTTATTTATTTATTTATTAACATACATACATTTTCACTATTACATAAAACATTTTCATGAACAGGGACCCATTTAGATTGCAGACGGATCATAACTGGTCGTGTCTGGGAAAATTGTTTTCCCATTCTTGCGTACGGGTCCTTAAAAAGACCGCACGCGAAAATACGGTCATCTTAAGATCACCGCACGAGAAAATACCCTCCCTCCTTTTTCCCTCTCAACACTTCAAAAAAAAATTCCATCCTCCCTCCAACTATCTCATTTCCTTATCCTTATCTTCACCTCCATCTCTCTCTCTTTCCTCTCACGCTGCGGCAGGCAAACGTGGCTCGGCAGCGCGCGGACGACGTACGGCAGAGGAGCGGGGCCTTTGAAGTGTTTATCTCAATTTTCATTAACGCGTTTTTTAAACTGTTAAACAGTATATTTCATGTGAAAACTTCTTATACAAAAATTGTTTTAAAATATGAGATAAAATTCCTTTTCCAAATTTGTAATAACAAAAACTTAATTAATTAAACAGTAATGATTTTATTTCCTTTTTTACTCTAACATCATCTTCATTAGAAATAAATACTAACCATAAAAAAGAAGCAACTTTGAAAGTGAAGGCAGGTGCAGACAACTTGTAACAGCGGGGCAACGCAGCGCAGGTGCGGAGAACGAATGTTCGCACTGGGATTATCCAGTGGATAGGATTAGATTCTGCTCGTTTTTAGTTAGCACGTTTTTTTAAACTACTAAATGGTATATTTCGTGCGAAAACTTTCTATAAAAAAGTTGTTAAAAAAATCCAACAAATTTATTCATAAAAAAAATTATATATTAATACTTAATTAACCATATGCTAATCATAATTCTCATTTTACTTACGGCTAAACTGTCCACCGAAATGATCGTACCCTTAGAGCAAGTTTAATAGTACAGCCAACTACGGATTTTAATTTATTTATAACTAATCTAATAGTCCATGCATACAATAATTAACTATAAAAATATATTACACCATTAATACCCGGTCCCACATCTCATACACACGTAACGTCTTGTAATCCGTGTTGCAGCCGGCTACAAATCTGTAGCCCACTTTCTCCTCTCTCTTCTCTTTTCTTCTCGATATATGGTTATAACTGGTTTATAGCTTGCTATTGTACCCGCTCTTATTAGCGGCTGGGCACGTGAGCGTAATCCCGCGCTAATCCGGCGTTGATTCTTCGTCTCCGCTGTTCGTCGCCCGTTGGCCGTTGGCCGTTGCCGTTGCCGTGGACCGGATCAAAGGATCGAGCTGCTTTGCCCAACCGCGCAGGCTAAGACCGGAAACGACAGTGGTGGTGGTCAGTGGAAGGTGCGTAGCTAAGCTAGGATGGAAGGGCAGAAGGCGATCGATCGATCACCGGTAAAAGCTCTCGTGCAACCGAACGATCCGGTCGCTTTGGTTGAAAGGACGCTTACTTGTTCGTGACCAACCACGGCCGGTCGTCGGTCTCCCTGGCCGCCGCCGGCCACCGTGACGAGGGTGAGAGACCGGTCTCGTGCTATATCTAGCTTCGGTAAAGCTCCAATTGTTGATCCTCGAATTTAAGTTGGATTTAGGGTTTTCAACCTAAGATAGTTTGTCCATATGTGCTTTTAGTCTAAAATACAGAATTTTAACACACGATATAATAATCCGAATTTTGAGAGGCAGAGATATACTTCATTAGTTGCAATCTTTTTTTTGGATTACATGGCAAATATATACACACCATTAC